CTGGATATGATGACCGACGCCATCTTAAAATTCAACATGACGGCTTCCGGTTATAGAAAAACTCGGAAATACTTAGTTGAAGATGCTAATTTCAAATAACAGACTGTAGTGGTAATTTTTATACGATAGATGGAGGAGATGAAAGTATAGAGTTGATAGTTCCGTTAGAGTACGGCAGTGTGAAAATTGCATATAGATAGTAGATAGCGAGCTAGGACAACTTTTAAACGAAGGTACTAATCGGTTTTTTCATCTCTCTTTACCAAACTCCCTCTTTGGAGAGGGATGGTGAGGGGTGTCCCCCCCCCGCCACCACTGGCAGTCTGTTATTTGAAATTAGCATCTTCAACTATGTAAATCGTTGACTTCACGCAGAAGTAATACGGTAATACTAAACATATCGTCAAAGTACATAACTCTGGATGGGAGCATATCATCAATTACTGTCATTGGTCGAAAGGTACACTAGCAGCACCTACCCCATAGTCAAAGTAGGAAATACTGTTAAATATCTTTCAATATCGGTATTTTCGAAATCGGGGTGACATCTAGAGACGGGAGATCGATGTCTTGAAATCAAAGATCGTGACTTCCGGTTTCAGAAAAAAAATGGGAATACAGTCGAATATCCTTCAATATGGGGATTTTCTAGAGACCGGAAATCGATGTCCAACGCCATATTGAAATCCAAGATGGTGGCTTCCGGTTATAGAAAAACTGGGAAATACTGTCAAATACCCTTTTAATATTGGTATTGACAGAATCGAGGTGACATCCAAACTTTTCATTCTGTGATTGTTGCTAGGGGTGACCGCTGTATTCAAAGTATTCAAAAAATACAAACAAGAGTTTGAATAAACATTATGTGTCAGAGGAGGAAGAGAATCAGAATTATTTTATCATACACAAATCGTTATTTCAAGCGTAACTATTCAAATCGAAGTATCTGATTTAGTAAACAATCACTTCAATCGACGATTTGTGGCAACTGCTAGCTCACTCACAGAAACTAACAACACCAGCTAGTAGGGGAAAGATTCCCCTACCTGATGATGGTGTTTGTTTGCGCGGGTGAGTTAGCAGTTAAGACAAATCGTCGATTGAAGTGATTGTTTACAAAAGCAGATACGTTGATTTGAATGGTTACGCTTGATTTAATCAATTGAATTCTTTCACAGCACGAATCACCCTGATAAGCTAAATCTAAGAATTTTACTTTGAAGGGAAATAAGGTAAAAAAAAGCCATATCCGAAGATGACCTAACATGAAAAATGTATCCGTATCACCCGGCAAGACGTGCTTTATAAGGCTTCATGTGCTTGGCAAATCATGGCCATCGATTAACTGTCTCTAGACGGCACCTCGATTCTGAAAATACCAATATTGAAGGGTCTGTAATTCTTTGTTTTCGTGCAACCAAAAGTTGCTATGTTTGATTTTAAGATGGCGTTAGACATGGATTTCCGATCTCTATACGTCATTACGATTCCGAAAATATTCACATTGAAGACCCAACGAACATTGGAAGCTGAATAAGAGCTTATTCAGGCAAAAATATGCTTGAAAAACTTAACAATAGTTTATTAAGCTTTTAATCAGTTTACATTGATTGTTGAGGAGTATTTGACAGTATTTTCCAGTTTTTAAATAATTGGAAGCCGCCATATTGGATTTCAAGATGGCATCGGTCATAGATTTCCGTATTGTATGCTTCACCTAATTCTAAAAATACCCATATTGATATTGAAGGGTATATTTGTCAGACTTCCCAACAAACATTGAAAGCTGAATAAGAGCTTATTGAGGCAAAAATATGCTTCTTCAGCTAAAAAATAGCTTATTCAAATTGTTTGTTGGGTTGAATGGGTATTTTTCAGACTGAAAATGAATTCCCGTTCCTTCACTACCAATATTGTCAATTAAAATGTATGACATTTTTTTAAGAACAACTGTCGCTTTGCACACATATTTCACTCGTCGTTTTGGGTGCGCTGCTATTTAATTCTTGCCAATAGTCTGAACCATGCACAGTACGTACCCGGTTTTGGTTTCATAAAATTGAACCATGCACACGGTTTGGATCTCGTGAACCAAAACTAAAATTCTAGCACACCGGTTGTCGGTTTTCAAGCTGCGGATCTGTACATCAACTCGAAAACCGGCAGTCGGTTTTGATTTAGAGCACCGGGGACCGGGTACGCGAAAAGTCAACCTAACCAGGATACACGCTTACATAAACACAGGAGTATTTATCAAAGCCGAACAAGCACACGGTGCGCACCGGTTAAAAAATAAGCCCAGACCATTACTGATTACACTGAATCGTCCCGATCAGTGGTTCATCTGATAACTCCTGTTGAGAAGGTTGCTGCGATTGGCCAACACTTAATCAGCTCCCATAATCTCGGACAAAACATGATTAGTCTTCATGAGGCTGCTGTTGCTGAAAACGCAGCCAACCTCCATTTGATTTCCAAAAACTTCCCCAATGTTACATTGCAGGCATAACATTTGATAACGGCACAAAAGCATTTGTAAACAAACTTTCTAAGGCCCTTTACACGCGAACCAAAGTATGCCCAAGCAAACCAATACCACTTTCGGAAAGGTGATAGTTGCCTCTATCCGATGATGTTGTTGGTTTGCGTGGGCGTACTTTGGTTCGTGAGTAAAGGGCCTTAGAAAGTTCGCTTACAAATGCTTTTGTGCCGTCTACAAGGGAAGGGTCATTGGAGCTCTTACTGCCAAACTTCAGAGAGGCTTGGATGTCCTGTATGAGTATTCCAACAACTGAAAGATCCGTATCAACGCGGCAAAGACCCAGGTCATTATACTTCCACATTCCCAATCACCAAAACTCAGTGTTCACTCGGCTGTCGACAGAAGCAGACCACTCTCAATGTGTGTCACGCGATCGTCTGTCTACTCGGCAGCAACCATTGTGTGGTCCTCCTCATTGTTCTTCATCAGCAATTCTTTCGGTCGATGCGTCGTCGACTTTGGAAAGCAACCGTTTCGTGATGAGTGTGTGAGTGCTGACCACGTTTTGCGTCCATTGCTACAATGGAAGCGCTCTGACTCTCGTTGGCGAATTTGCCATACAAGTAAACCACTGGAAGCGGCTCACGTTCTGGTAGAGGAGGCTTATTGGATAGCGGAAGATAAAATGTTTATTGTGTCGTTTAACCATAGTTTTAAGATGTATTGTATAGTGAACAAGAATACTCGGCTCTGTAAAGTTAATTCAGTTGAGCCTAATCAAATAAATTATTAATAAAAAAAAATCACCAAAACTGGTTCCGTCAGAAAATAATAACATCTGCTTGAACGGCTCAGTTTCCAACAAACAATTGCCTATTGCAGAAACGACTTCTTGACGATTTTATTCAGCTGCATGCTTCATAATACTTCTACTATTTTTAATAATAACTTCTGTTCAGGCTTTGTTCACACAAATCTGGAGAATTTATTCAACCACAACATCGAAATATTTGGTGTTGAATAAGGTATGTCAAGAAGCTTTTATTCGACTTACAAGAGTTGTAACAGAGCTTATTCGATCAAATTTTTGATTATTCAGCGTCTATTTGACATCATTACTTCCTTAAACAGCGATGGTATAAAGGTGTATATAGACGCTTGATTCCCATGTGAAATAATGTTTAATTAGACACTATTATACAATTATTAAACGATTATTCTACTGCAGGATAATTATTCCGAAAATAAGAACGGCACAGAGCAGGGTTGTTCTCGTTTGTGATTGTTGTGTCATTATTTCTGTTGAAGCACACACCCACACCACACAGGTACTAGCAAATTTATTACATACATACGTACACATAACATCCCAACTAACATTTTCAGCTTCACTTGTTGTTGGCTGTAAAGTAGCTGAAACAAAGCTGCAGATACAGCTACAAGCAGAAGCTAGCAAAATAGTTTTGGAGAGCAATTACTCAACTTTTTTCACAATCATTATTCAATTTGTCAGTCGTACTGAATAACAACACCGAATAAACGCTAATGCCACTTCTATGCAAATATTAATCAACTTTCAACTTTTAGCTTCTAAACAAAGCTAATAAAGTGAATATATTACTTATTTGATGGCTGCTACACAACCAACTACTCTTGCTGAATAACATAAACATCAAAAGTGCTTTTTCAACAACTATATAACCTGTACTCAACTAATAAACTGTGTTCCACTTTGGAAGCTATTTAACAGTCCACTAGGTTTATTTTTAGACTTGTGCAGTTTTACAGCTTTTACTCTGCTTCTTTACAAAGCTGAATTAACTAGTCGAGAAAAGTGAGTCATGTGCACTATTATAAAGCCGCTACTCAGCGATCTTGTTGTAGAAGCGCATGCACATTTGTTTACGTCAGTTCAAAGTGTCGGCGTAGCGAAGTTGGTAGTATCAAGGTTTGTCAATCGAGTTTGATTCCAGGTTTCCTCTACAGTGTAAATAATTTGTTGATGTGCTTATAACTAATTTCGATTAATTTGATTCGCAGTAAAATACACATGATATATTCCTCCTACAAAAAAACGTAAACAATATTTAACCTGGCGTCAAAAGAAGGCTGTGTAGTGATTATTGGATAATCGAGTAAAGGTTGAGTAAGCGCCTTTCAAGTTCACACACAACTAAACAGCAGAATAACAGCTATATAGAAGCGTAAATAGATATGCAATAAGAGCTTGTCCCAACCATCACACAGCTGTTCACACCACCGACGAATTCAAACAATACAAAGTTGAGAGAAGGCATACAGTTCCAGCTGGAACACAAAATGACACAACACCCCTCGGTCGATCCCGATATCCTGCTTTATCCAACAATTGCGCATAGCGCACACTCGCACACAAAGGCAACATTCCGTCAAGCGGCTCTATTCTGGCCACATTCCGAGTGTCGTTCTTCCCATTCCCACCCACAGAGAGCCTTTAGAATAGGGGATAGATTTTCTCGTTTCCTCAGCGGTTAGTGTGCCTGTGTGTGCAATATCCTACGCGTAAAGTCATCAGTAGTAGCAGAGCAGTCATCATCGTCAAGCGTGTGTGATAAGTGAACGCGACAGAAGCGGAAAGGACATTTTCCGAAGCATGTTCTGCTGAGAAATTTGGAGTCTGTCGTGCGTGCGTGCGTGTGCTGCAAATTCCTGCAGGAATCGACGGGCGGACGAACGGACGGACGGCTTGTTTTTTTCTCTCCCGTTGTGCAAACGCGCGTGTGTGTATTTCGTGTGCTGGGATCATCTAGCAGTGAAAATCCGATCTCCCGAAAAAGGCAGCCCTCTCGATGGAAAATTGATGAAAACCTCAAGTGGTGGAAAAATTATAGGTCACTCACATTCTCACGTTTTCTATGGCTTTTACTCGTCTCACACCTCCCGGCCACGCGGCCAGCCATCGTCGCTAGTAGTGCCAAGAGCTCTCTTTCTTTTGCTTCGGTATAGCTCCTTGCTGCTCTACCCTACAGAGTTCACAGATATTACACTCCAAATCCGAGTGTGTTTCTTGCTTTCGATATCGATTAGTTGGGTCGTAATTGTACCGTGTGTATTTACAGTCAGATTCATCTCCGATCGTTGGCGACATGTGATTAGTGAAGACGTGCAATCATTTCATCTGGTCCAGGCCAGAGTACGCTCGAAGACAGGTGAAAATCTAAATAGTTTGATAAGAGTGTGAGCTCACGAGGAAAAGTCTCGTTTTCGCAGTGCTACAGAAACGCATACAAGCAAACGGAATAGACAGCGTACTGCTGCTGCTGCTGCTGGCTGGTGGTGCTTTTTGTTATGTAAAACCACCCCTCGGCCTGGCTTTCCATAACCTCATTTCAGCGTGTAGTTTCTTCCTTGACATCTACTAGGTTTTTCCTACTCTCGCACTCCCGAAAATGTTATCCTCGACGTGGAGACATACGCTTACGGCAGTATTCTCTGTAGCAGTCCGGTCCAGTCAGTTTCCCCTTTCCCAGTGGCAGCCGATACTCGAAATACATTCTTATTGACATTGGCATGACGAGTACGGTTATTATTGAAGTTTGAAAACTCTCCAATTCGAACCATTAACAGTGTGAAGCGATTTCCAACGCGACCGACGACACCGACACGATGCACAGTGCGTTTGAGGCATGGGAAAATCTGAGGAAATATTTTGTACTATTGTGTTGATGAGAATGCTACGGTGGTGGATTGGTTTTAAGATGTCAATGGTCTGTAGTGAGTGAAATTGATAACGTTGTGCTTTAGTGTAAGTTTCTGCGGAATAAAAAAATATCTTGATGGATAGGAAGCTACAGTTTGCTTTCAGTGTTGGATTTCAAATAGAATTAAGTCAATTTGAAGTGTAGTGGAATCATTACAGTTGAAGCTGAAGTGCCCATGTGTTCTGAGCACTTGAACTGGTCAATTCTATCGGACTTGTTTAATTCCTCTGCTGGGACTCTTCCTGAGATTGGATGGAGCACAGCATTCTGAGCCGGGACTACCACAGACAGTGGATAATGAAGATCTTCGGTTTTTGAGTGGTCTCCGCTGATACACACCATGTTTCGCTGGCAAATAACAGCATAGATTTAATGTTGGAATTGAAAATTCAGATGTTGGAGCGTTTAATGTTTAGTATAATGACCAATATTTCATATACTGGCAAAGGCAGTTCTAGTCTTCGTGTGAGCCGTTCGCTGTTGGTCGGCGTCTGACGTTATCTGACTGTCTAGATATTGGAAATTTTCAACTTCCTTGACTGCTTGTCTAGCTACCGTAAAATTGGTTTCTCATGTCGATACCGTACAATATGGTCTTGTAAGGACCTGAAGGGGAGTGTTCGGCGAGATCATCATTGAGTTTACTCTGCGTATCAGAGTGCCGCCCGTTGTGCTAATAGAGCAATATCAGCAAAATCGAAGCCGTTTACAAGCATCATAGTGATGGGCAGTATACACCTAATCCAAGATTAGGTGTTCAGTAAATATTTGTATGGTTCTGTATACACGACCAATTGCATTAATTGGCATAATTTAATCGATTATGGCTATCACAATGAGAAAAAATACCGGCGAGTGACAATAATCAGCTACCCGCAGGAGCTTAAATAAGACTCCATTGTGAAGAACATTTCCACGAAACTCTTTCCCGCCTTGCCTTGTGCTTCAATGAGGCTCCTAAGTTATGTTCGTGTGATTGAGCCGGGCGAAAGATTGTTCGTAGACAATGAATTTAAAATCTTTTTTTAAAGTCGTTTGCGCCGTTTAGTCGCAATTTACACGCTACGTTTTTAACGATTTCTCGAAAACAAATGCTATGGATACACTTGTATGACAATCTATGAGCATGAGCATAATTTGTATAGTAAGTATGAGCACTATACAAAAACTATACAAGTGTCACCATGGATCAGCATGAGTTTTCAAATGAGTCTCATGCTAATAGATTGTCATAAAAGCACATAACATAGCCGGGGTGACTTGAGATTTGGGCGTAATTGCTTTTGTAAACAAACACGTCAATTGCTGATTTATCTCGTGAGTCTAAAAACCAAAGCAACCCGCAATAGACGTGTGCACGAATGGATTTGAGTTCACTTACTCGAGAAAAAGTGACACAAGCTGCGGGCAATGTTTATTAATCATGAACACTGATGGCGGTAAGCTCCACCTCGGATTAACTTTTTATTCCAACCCTGTTTGGATGATCTGCCAAATGTTTGCTTAGAGTCGTGTTGATTAACTCTGATGTCGACGTCAAAGCAGCTTGATATTCTTTATCTGGATTTAATCCGAGGATAATACCGGTTGGAGCTTACCACCATAAATGTTCATTATTCAGTTCCAAACGGTATAATCCTCATCAAGAATGACAGGCTGTTTTATTGTTGACGTCGATGTTAATCAATACTATCCTTAACAAACATTTGGCAGATCCTCCAAACAGGGACGGTATTGAAAGTCAATCCAAGTTGGGGCTGACCGCCATTAGTATTCATGATAAGTAAACATTGCCCACAGCTTGTGCAATTTTTCTTGAGAGAGTGAACTCAAATTCATCCGTGCACTCGTCTATTCATCTACACTGGGTTGAAGCGCTACTCCTTGCGAGTGATGGTAAATGATAAAAACTGACACAGATAGCACTTCGAATTCCCAAAAAAAAAAAACTACAAAGGACAACCCTATGGGGTTGTACGCAATGGTGACATAGGTCTACGTTGTCTTATAACGGGTGTTCATTAACTAATGTGTAGACATATAGCTAGTAAAAAAAAATTCTTCAACGAATTCAGTATTTTTTATTAAAAACATAATGTTTATTCTTCAAAAAAACGTCAAAGAATATTGGAGAAGGGGCCCTGGTCAGCTGTACGACGCAATTAAGTCGCGATGCTCTCACAAGAGCGCTGGACGGCACTGAAATCATTCTCATTTATTATTGAACACCCGTTATAATAAATCTTATTTGTTAACTGCAGCAGGAGCTTTTTGTTTGGTAGGAATATGAATTTGAGCGGGGTTCTCTCTGTCACTGTCACTGTGGGCCATCTATGACACGCTTGACATAGATGGCCCACAGTGACTGACGAAAAGCTACTGATTCCGATCAATAGCGCTGCGGCATCTTCCTCCTTCTATAAATGCTTTTGTGGGCTGCAGCTCGCTGCTTGTAGGTAACCGTTCGTTGTGTAGTGGACAACACCACCACTCACAACGCGGTGATTTAATAAACACCGTTTGGTGAGACCAGATGGAATTCAACTATGAAATCTGTTCTAGGGAAATCGCTTTTCGCAGGCAATCGGAAATAATTTTAATTATCATAGCAACAGTTGCACATTCATGCAGTTTACAATAGTGACATTCTGAAAAAGGATAAAGTCTTAAAATTAACACATGCGTGAAAATATTTCTGATCGATAGGTAATAAAGTTATTGAAATTGGTCCAGGGGTAGCTGAGTTATTGAAATTGGTCCAGGGGTAGCTGAGTTATCAACCTTCAAAATCTTTCATAATTTTGTTACATGTTCCACTTTCTGTTTTCACAAAGTGAACCCCCATATAGAAATCACAGACGTAGTCCTACGTCAAAGCATTTCTACTATTCAGGCTCGAGTTCCACATATGTTATGTGATACAAGAGCATCCGTGGCATAAGTCCAATCACATTATCCGTTTTGAGTCATAGGTAATCAAATGGCATACATAAAAAGCTTTTGGAGTAAATGCAGAAATTAAAAGCTACAAGGGACAGCCCTATGGGGTTGTACCATAGAGGTAACTCTTAGACCAGTAGGTCCCGAAGAAATGTGCTCATCTTTTTGCTCAGCTCTGATACTCTCTTCGGTCCCAAGCTAATCGATGCACCCCTCGAAACATAGGAAAATCTACGAACCCCTAATTTTATCTGTCAAAATTTCATAGCGAATCAAAACAAACATAGTATAGTACTAGAATTTCGACTAGAATAGGGTACTTTAATCGTTTGCTTGGGACCAATAGGCTAGTCAAGTAGTGATCCAATTTAAAATCGTTAGTTTCCACCGGATGGTTTTACGTAAGACTACGTTGCTTTATATGATAAATGTAATTTTTAATTGCAGCAGGAGCCTGTGTTTTGTGTTGGAATAGGAATTTGAGCGAGGTTCTTTCTGTTTATACTTTTTAGTATGACCATAGAGGTAACTCTAAGACCAGAAGGTCCCGAAGAAACGTGCTCAACTTTTTGGCTAAACTCTGGTATTCTCTTCGGTCCCAAGCTAATCGAAACATGATAAAATTTTCATAGCGAATCAAAACAAACATAGTGTAGTACTAGAATGTCGACTAGAATGAGGTACGCTTATAGATGTACTTGGGACCAATAGGCTAGTCAAGTAGTGAACCCATTTTGAATCGTTAGTTTCCAGAAAGGGGTTGAATTGGTGTATGCGACAGATTGGAAGGCCGCAGAATATCAGTGTCCACCCAGCTAAAGCTCCTCCCCTTTTTAGTTTTTTCTCGTTAAACTCCTTCTCTCAACAAGTTGGTAAATCTTAGCCTTTAGCAGAAAGACGCTTAACACTTTTTTCGGCGAATATATGATCATGTTTCACGTCATGGTTCTTCACCATGCCTGTTCAAATAAATTAGTAATTTTATTTATTTTCTCTACTGCGCTAAATCAAACGAGTAGAAATAAGAAAGGAATGCCGGTTACGTGTTTAATAATATTTAAGCGAATATCTGGAAAAATCTTTACGATCAATCATTAATCGAATAATTGGACTTTTAGGCATCTCTAGAAAATAGTGTAGTTTCAGTTTTTTTGGTGGTCCTTCGAAAATGTCGAACAGTAGAATTGCAA